TATTTTCCAGATAGGTACCGGAGCTCGTGACATGCTCACTTCCCGTTTGCAATGCACAACTAACGATTACCACCGCTAAGCCGTTGAATTTAAATTCAACATTCTCACTTCCCGACGCCGAAGTGTCTCCCCGGTTCCCATTATTCCTACGTGACTGGATAGACTGAAGAATATGAAACTTATCCTCAGCTAGTTATCCGAACTAGCAACGGAGATGTCAGTCTCAGTATCCTGCGACATTCTACCATTGAGTAGAAAATATGAAATAAGGCAAAATCATATTAAATGTTAGACAAAACCTAATTAAAAAAGCGCCAACCAAATAGAAACAAAATGTCGCTTTCGTTGTCAAAACGCCGCTTAATCGTGACAAAGTCTCTAAGTTGGCAACACTGTTCATATGCGTAAAAGAGAAGAAACTACTAACAGTTAGTGCGCGTCTCAAAAAAAGGTTTATTTCCAAAATAAGGTTAAAAATGGAAAAAATTAAACAATCACGGTCTTTAATTATTGGATAATACTTTATTCTTCAAAATATTATAAATTATACTTGGTATATTACGGTTTTACGTGCATTGAAAGCGTAGAATAAGAAGTAACTTTTTTTTTATCCAGAAAATATTGTAAAATCGTGTTTTGGAAACAACAACATTGTAGATAATATGATGAAACATTTTTTCCACTGCTACAAGTTGATCAGGGGTCTAGAAACGCCATATTGGCAGAATCATAATATGATTAACTGACAATCCACATTATGAATTTTAAAACAAAACAAAAACCCAATTCATCTATTATACAGTGCTCTATGGAGGTCTTCATAGACCACTGTCAAATAGATGATTTGTATTTTTTGTAATTTTTCAAAATTCATAATATGAATTCAAATTCAAATTCAAAATAATCTTTATTTCATAGGTAAGCATTATTACACTTGAAGTCACAATGGTTAAACTCTACCGCTCATTCGTAAGGCAGATTCCCCTGAGAAGAATGAGCAAGAAACTCTAGGTGTTGCTCTTTGTAAATAACATTTAATATTGTACATCAGAGACATCAGAGATCGAGACTACCTCCATGAGCTAAACGGGTTACTACCACGGATTTTTGTCATCCAAGTACGCAGGAGTTGTATAATAACCTTTAGTATAAAGTTTTTGTTTCACTATAGTATAATAGTCAATTAATTATATTATGATTCTGCAAATGCGGCCTTTTTAGCCCTGCAGATCTTGCTAAAAACGCGTTGAAGTGAAGCTTAATTGGCGGTATTCAGCGTCATGAACACTTTGAGTACCACTTGTTTTGCAAAACAGGTATATTTGTATTCATCTCATTAAAATACCTGTTCCTTTGGTCAGTGTAGCTACGTCTCTAATTCTGTTTACACGTACAACATACATAAAGCGATTTTTATTTTGTTTTTTTTTATATGCAAGTAATTGTGTACCTCTTATTTCTCGAACTGGGAAAAAGATAGGTAATTTAAATTCATATTTTTACATTTCAAGTTATTCAACTTGCAAATTTTGTTCAAATATTTTCTAGTTTCGTTTTCCTTGTTGTTTATTTGTGTTGTGACGATAAAGGATGCTACTCGTGTAAGTTAGATGTTATTTTTCACTGTTACAAGAATTTTATTTAATTATAACTTAAAAACATATTTTTTGGTCAAAATATTCTTGATTAATGAACGCGTTGAACGATGTTTTTCCTTGGCATTCTCTTGATGTAATACAATCTCAGCTTTTAGTTAATATGTATTTATTGAGCATTGGTTATAGAGCCTTTAAATAAACAATGAACAATTCGAAACTTAATATAAAACTTTGTTTATAAACTATAACTACAAAAACCTGCCTTTATTTTCGGCACAGCTTCTACAGAGACCAAAGAGGATCTAATGGTGATCTATTAATTTTTATTTATTAAGAGTTTTGACTTGGATACCAGTCCTTTGAGCCATGTCTTCGTTTAATTATCGGGATTCTCATTAAATATTTTTCATTGTAATTGTGGTTCTAATGCATTATGTTTCCACTTTCTCTTAAATAGGTAATAGTTCTCTTGTTTGGGTTTTCTAAATGGTCTTTAAAAGCGGCGGGAGTCCATATTCATGTTTTCACTTTCATTTAAGTCACATTATTGTCGCTTTAAACAAATACTTTGAATTAGTAATTAGTGAAATTTTCAGGATAAAGTGTTTTGTAATTTGGTTTAAAATAAGGGATATAATTCTAACTTTCTTCATCACTATTTGTTTCTTCGTATTGTAAGGACCGTAGTTGTATTTCAAAAGCCCGCCTAATAATTTTTAAAAAGTAAATATTCACCCAGTTTTTTTAGGAGGCAAAGGTTCCACCCTACAAGCCTCTTCATTAATGTCTTTCCTTTGATGGAAATCAAATGCGACAAGCGCCTGTTCTTATATATATAATTTATTTCATGTCATGAAGTGTTGACGCTATTTAATTGTACAGGACAGGCTAGGCGTCTATCTATTTCCATATGTCTACGAGTGTCTATATTTTCAGGTTTGCTATATATTTCCAATAGTTGATCAATGAGGTTAAAACATAGTAAATTGAAGGACGTACAGCTAGAGAATATCTAGGGTCGGCGGACTAAAGTACGGACAACGGCACATCAGACCACACATTTTTGTTCGAAAATCGCCTTCCGTGCAACAGAACACGATACGTCAATGTGTAAGCTTGATATACTGGCGTGTGTACATAAGTCAAAAAAGTGCTTCATTTATTAATATATAATTACATATTTTTTGTGTTGTTTATAGTGTTGGAAGATGTGAAGAGAATGATTAATTTAAAAAAAGGCGGTTCTAGAATAAAGTTACGAATTTATGAAGTAACAAATGAATTTAATTTATTTGCTTTAGCCGGTAGATGAATGATGTTGAATTTTGACTATGTGCTTTAGTCCGCCGACCCTAGATATATGGTCCAAAATTCGATCAACACTATTGATATATACAGGGTGTAACCGAGGGGTGCAGTGAAAATCCAAGAACGTAGGGAGTTACTTTCAAATAGTAAATTGGCACTGATATTTTAGTTGAATGTTTTGCCTAATTAAATTAATTTCATTTCAGAAAATTGCGATTTTTCGTCGTCATCGATATTAAAATCGAGCTCGAACATCCCTAATCTCATACAAGCACTTGCTTTGAAGCTGTTATAAATACGTGACGTAATAAATTTTATTATTTATTTACTTACAAAACTTGTACTTCTGAGCACAATATTATAGGTTAAAAACACTGAAAGAACAGATTTTTATCCGATTTCATCGAATCACTGTAAAACGCAGCCCAGAATACATATATTATATCTATATTTAACAGCATAAATTGTGAAAGGCGCTAGGAATGATTTTGGATTGTTATTTACATAGCACTACTTATTATTTTCTTTTATTCGTACTTAAAATTGGTAGAATTATAAGACTCAGTGCTAAAATTCATTCTTTTAAATTTACAGACATTTAGTTCACTTCACTTTTTATTTTTATGGCTCCATCAATATGAGAACTGATGATTTTGCCAATGTCACAGTTGAAAGAAAAAAAACGAAACAAAAAAAAAAATTTCGCTAAGCTCTAATAGGACATTAACCGGTTTATTTTGCAATAATTTGACAATGTCATTGTCACAATTTTACTTTATTATTGTCGGCCTAACTCAATAATGTCTCATTGATTATGAATTTATGATTTTCTTAGTTTATAACAACGCTGATATTACTAAATACCTACATACTTTATAGGGGTATGTATACTCTGATTGCGTGGTCGGTTGGTAGTGGAAACTGGTATGACCTTCAATGTGTATACTTTGATCACGATATCAGTTTCACCTGCTTAATTGCCGTACGATTTGTGGCAACCAATCGCGCCATTCGATTCAACTGAACAAATATTTTAAGTGGAGTCCCAACAAATCACATTATTACTCAATAAGTTCTCATTTCTTTGCATTGGAATAATTTATTAAAAAAATGAAACTGTTTCAAAAATATTGTGATCTGTTGGGAAACTATTTGAAATATTTTTCAGTTTAATCGAATCGCGCGATCGGTTGCAATAAATCGTACAGCGATTGGGCAGGTGCAACTGATATCGTGATCAAAGTGTACAAATTGAAGGTTATTTAGGTTATAAGGTAGGTTTCTGCTACCAACCGATCACACGTCACACGATCAGAGTATACATAACCCTTTATAATGTCGCTTTTTTTAATACAACGGTTTTCTTGTAAAATTTCGAGGTAAGTTTGTATTTTTGTTCTATCGTGAAAATTTGAAGAAATCGTGTTTTCACACCTTATCAGTGCATATCCTCAATTTTACTATTTTTTTTCAACACTTTCACTGTCATGCGGGATCAACCAAAGCCATTTGAGGTTGTACCGACTGTTGACCTGGAATCGTTTTGATACGTTCGTGTCTAACCACACCTGTAGAATTAAGCCGGTTCCCCTTTAACGTGGCGTTAGTTGTTTCTAAGCCAGGCCCCGTACTCTCCGTTTTCCGATCGACATTCATCCTAAACAGTTACTGTAAAATAAGTAATATTCAACCAAATAAAAACTCAAGTCGACTCATTTAGTTCATAGGTAAAATAAATTTACACTTGATAACGTCAAATTTAAGCTAATGCTCGTTAACTACGCTGAATTCCTCGAATAGAACGAGCAAGAAACTCTAGGAATTGCTCTTTTCAAATAAACTTAAATGCTATAGAATACACTTTGAATCAAATTTGTGTGGAACCTACAGCCATCTTTCCATACATCTTTATCTAACACAACTTCAATTTTGTAATATGACTTTTCAAATAAAATATTTTTAATGTCTTTTTTAAACTTAGGACAAGATAATCTTAATATATGCTCCGGAATCTTATTGTAAAAACGTATACAGTTCCCCATAAAAGAGTCGTTTGCCTTGGTTAAACGAAATCGTGGTACCATGAGTTTGAACTTAGCTCTAAGGTTAATATTAATTGCGAATTGTTATCGTAGCCGAACGGCTACCACGCCGGACTGCCACGCAGAGGTCCTGGGTTCGATTCCGGGGCCGGGAGAAATATTTGTATGGCCTACATTTATTTCTCTACTGTGCTAGAATGTAATTTGTCGTAGTCTATGTGTGTGTCCATGGCACCCGCGATACAGGGCTTCCCCAGTGCGGGGCTATGTTGAGTATGCGCGTTATTATTAATAAATATAACTATAAATAATAAAACTTATGTCTCAGGCTGACGGGCGCAGTGGCAGTGCCCCTCAGATCTTCGCGATTTAAAGCTCTGAGTGACACTGCAACTGTTATGGACAGGCGTACAGCTTACCATCAGACGCACGACTTGTTCGTCCCGTCACTTGATATTATGAAAAAAAACTTAAAAGCCTTTGAATGCAGTTCGAATTGTTTTTAAAATCAAAATTAAATACTTCTTTCGGTTAAATTTTCTAAGGTATATAAGGTACTTTCCCTCCGTGTGGCATAGCCGTGAGACGTTCTGCTACCTTTAATGGAGCGATATTAAAATTTCTTATAGAATAGTAATGTAAGTTCGCACGTTTAGTGTAAAAAGGTCACCTATGGGAATGTGGCAACTTTTCAGTAGAAAGGTTTAAAGATTGTACAATCGGAGTCCGGAAAAGATTCAAATACTTTCAATGCTCAATATTTTATTGCATACCATAATTTAATTATGGACCCTGTAAGGCCACAGAAAATGAGAAAAATCTTAATAAATTAAACTAATTCCAACCCTATTCTATTTACTAAAGACCTAAGGTGAAGGTTGAGAAAAACATGTAATAACATAATAATCATTTATATTAATTTTCTTTTGCAATAATATAATTTATTAAACATATCTGTATTATGTATTAAATATAATACTTGATAATAATAATTAAATGCATTGTATTAGACAATATCACATAATACGTTTCTCTGATCCCAAAGTAACTAAGGCACTTGTGTTATGGAAATTGGAAACAACGACGGTACCACAAACACCCGGATTGGAGACAATTTTAACAGAACTTAGAATAATAACGCATAGAAGCCTAGTCCACACACGCTAAGTGAGGCAAATTGAAGCGCGCCCAAAGGGCCTACACGAGCGGGCGGGCTTTCAGTGCTCAAGGTCAACTTGCACCGCGAACAGCTCAAGAATTTTAGCTAAAAATGACGGAATGTGCGGTAAATGAGTGTAAAAATACTTCAGACAAACATAAATAGATACTAACATCACATTCCACAAGGAAGTAACGCGTTTCAACTTGTATTTGTATATAAATATTCACTAAAACCGAAAATGAACCTACTACTAAAACTAGCCTACATGAATTTGATTTTTGCCTCACTTGTGACAGTTCGTTTGATATGAAACTATCATTCTATGCGTTATTATTCTAAGATACAGGATATGAAGGTCAGTAATGAAAGTCATAAACATAATATGAGCTACAAAAAATAAATTATGCGTATGTGAAATTTTGCAACTTTCTACAACCTCAAATGGCTTTGATTGATTCCACAAAACAGTGAAAGTGTTTAATCAACCACTTTGGAAAGAATATACAGTAAAATTGATGATTTTTTATTACTGCACGGTGCGAAAACACGATTCCTAAAAACTTTCACGATAGAAAAAAAATACAAACTTACCTCGAAATTTAACCGCTGTATTCAATGGGTGTTTTACATATACCAACGATTATTTTTTATATCAACTCACTGACTTACAATTATATGGACGTCGGGTCCGCGCTAAAAAGTGTCCGAACTTATAGGGCGTTAAATTCGTATTCAGAGCGTCATTCACGCTTTATTCTTCGTTTGTTCGACTGACAGCGAAGCAAGCAAAATTAGACAGTACTGCGATGACATTACAATTTAAATTCAACGTTTTAGCTTTTTCATATTCCTTTACATGTCACTACGCTTAAATAGGTTGACTTGGGATATTTTTTTCGTGGTTTTTGTATTAGACCCGTCGTCCATTTATTTATAAGTAAATGGCTATATTCTATATATTCAATAGGTGCTTTGCAATAGGACTAAATGGAACACGTATATTATACACTTTTCAAATGGCTTTGTTTTCGTTTGGAAAAAATTCATTCTTAAGCTAAAAATTTAGTTCGTAAAAAATTTAAACCTCCTAAAAAGTTGTGATTTTGCAGATGTAGCCTTATTACACTAATCGTGCGATTATATCTCTTTTGATCTTTACTTGGAATAAGCGACATCGTCTTTACCGTTTATCCGGCTTCTTTCGTATTACCCGGCCGTTTTCCAACGTCTCGTCACAAAGTAACAATTTAAATATATTTATTTTCGAATTTTTTTCTAAATTAATTTTATTTTTGTATATAACTCTCTACCTTAAATATAAAAAAGTTTTATTGAATGTCAGAATATTTCACCATCATAACATTCCACTAGTTTGTTACAATTATTAACACAAAAATCGGACAATTAGAAATAATTCCTTCGATTCAGTTGGACTGGAATGCAACCAACGTCTTCTAGTAAACTGTGTTAAACGCTACACCAACCATGCCACGGAACGAACCAGCGGAACTTGCGAATTTTTCTTAACTTTTCAATTTTTTTTTACTTTTGAAATTTGCTAGGTATTTTTTTCTAAGTGTTCGATCTTTCTATTAAGAGACCCCCCACACTACCATCTTTCGAGAGTCGGAGTCTTGCCAACGTACGCACGGCGTCTCGACACGACATCCGAGCGGTGGCGGCGCTACGCCAACGCAGCATCAGTGAGCGACTGCTGGGGGTCTACTCCCGTTCTTTACATTTAGTCGAATATTACTTATTTGACAGTAATCTGTTGATGTCGGAGTAGACCCTCTAAATAGTGCCAAACATCGGGCCTACACCGCGCTGGCGTGGCGACAATCGCCGCCACGCGGACGTGTCGTGTTGCTGTGCGTGCGTTAGCAAGACGCTAGTGTGGGGGTTCTCTTAAAAGTTCGGTTATTTTTCGTCGTAAAATTTTTTAAATCACACTTTGGAGATATGGACTTAATACATATCGGTTTTAAAGTAAAAGTCACTTAGAAGAACAAATTGAACATTGAGGGGATGTTACATATACAGTCGATGTAAGAAAGGGGGTAGTACCCGGTTTCCTGTAAAGCCCCAAGCAATGGGCTTTATTATCACACTAGTGTAATAATTTTAATACTATCCATTACAGTTGCAGTGTCATTCAGAGCTTTGGATGTTCCACAACATCCAAAGCTCTGAATGACACTGCAACTGACTGCAGACTGACAATGACGGGCGCTGTGGCAGTGTCCACACACTGCCACAGCGCCCGTCACCCTGAGACATAAGTTGACAAGTCCCAAGTGCCTGTAATTTCACCAACACCCTTACCCTTCTAAACCGGAACGCAGTAATGATCACATTACTGCTTGCGACGAACTCGTTCATAAGGAGTCTCTACTGCTACTAAATATAATACATATTTGTTTCCTTTCCAGTACAAGCTCACTATGAAATCAGAACAATCGCCACCTCTATTATAAAACCGGAAAGACTACGTATCGAAAACATGATGATTAAAATATCAATTTTCCTGCTCGCACTACACATCGCCACAGCTCAGAAGAATGGTGAGTCATTTTTTATTCTACGTAAGTATAAGTCGTATAGGTACCTAAGTACACACGTTTGCAGTTTTGGTTATAATGGATTTCCAGTATAAGTTGACCGGTAATGGTCATAGCAAAATTACGTTTATAAAGAGCTGTTTATACTGGTATACAATAGCCTCGCGTGATGTTTTGTACCAGCGTATTATACGGTACAGAGTCAACATTTGATGGTAAACAAGTTAGTTTTCCTAATCAAATTTATTTAGCAATATGTGTCGTCTGTGTTTTATAGCCAGGGCGAAAGCGACATTTCGAAAAACTTTTCAGGAGAGCATGTTTTAAGTTTTCACGACTATTTTAACCTTCCGGTGGTCGCACTCTTGCGCCGAACATAAGCAGTCGCGTGCGGTAACTTTACGCGTTTACTTTGAGAAGACCAAATGAATATTTTCATGACGACGTTGTGTAAGCACATGATAAAAATAAGTTTATCCGTACATATAAATGAGTAAATAAAAAAAACTTATTATATTTTTAATTTGTACTAATTAGTTTAACAGTCTACAAAAATACAAAATTTTAGTCATATGACAAAAATCAACGTTAAAACTAAAAAGCGACGAAATTTTCTATGGTAATCGTTAATAGGCACAATATAATAAATTATTATCGAGATTAATCAAAATTATCATATTAAATTATCATGTAATTTTTTTTGGAACACGACCGGTCGCACGCGGAATTTGAAACCGCAAACACAAATAAAGACACGTGTACGCTTGCGATGAATGTCACAGGGTTACTAAGGGGAAGAACCTCACCACCTCGAGGATATCAAGATCGCGCAACCGTCTATTGTTTATACTTTTATAGTTTTTGAATAAGGTCGCTGCGGTCTTTGAGACCGCGCGTGACCGCTAGAAGGTTAAAATATTAACGTCCTTTTTTAAATTAAATTTTTGAACTTTAAGTTACATTACAACTAAAATTGAATTTTAATTTTAAATCAGTCGTTAAAACCTCATCGTCGTAAAAACATGTTCTACTGAAAACGACGACGTTCGACATGTCTCTATATGTATAATGCACACACTTTAAGAGAGTATGCCCAGGAACTTTCAAAATTTAGTTTCTCCCTCTAAAGGTCTTATTTTAACCGACTTCAAAGATAGGAGGAGATTCTCAATTCGACTGTTTTATTTGTGTATGTTGGAAAGAGGGTACCACGATATTGGTCCCATTTAAATTTAAGGAAAATTTCCACCTGTAAGGGTGGCAAACTAGGGGATGAATCCGGTTCGCGCACTTTCCGGTAACCGATTTCAATAAAACTTGGTAGATAGATATAATTCCATTCCGTAAAACCGTCTATTATAAACTTTACAGAAGGCGACAGTTGTATCCTCGAGTACACATACAGCATGGGGAAATGTGTACGCGCAGAATCTTGCGAGTCTGCACAAATAGACTTTCAGTAAGTTGCAAACACGGTCCAAAATTATCGAGATTTGTACTTAATTTTACAATTACCACGATAATTATCTGGCAATTATAAATAATAATAAATCATTTATTTCGACCAACATGGATCATACATACAATTACATTCAAAAATAAAATTTAAATTAAAAATAAGAATAAAAAATAAATTATAATGTGTTGCATGGAAGCAATCTACGCGCGCTTCAGCAAAGATCTCCACACACCACATTATACGTAATTCGCACTGTCAATACAATAGTGTATTAACTCAAAAAGTGTATTTTCTCAGAATCGACGAAAAACGAATTACTCGCTTCCCGTGAAAAATCTGTGTAAATTTATGTATAAGTTATTTCCTACTTGCGAAATATACACATTTAAAAATAAAAGAGAAAAAATAGTTTCATATTTTTGTATAAGGACAATTTTGGCCAGAACTGGCTCACATAAAGCGTGTCTCATTTTGAATTAAGTACATAACTTTTAGTTGTTTTTTACAATTTTCTAACGATGGTTTTATTGTCGTGTAGAGAATCAAATTTTACGTTCAACAATTATATAATCTTGGTATGGCGCTAAACAGAGAGATGTGGAGAGAGGGGAGGGAGCCCTTTGCTCAGCAGTGGGACAGTATAGGCTCATATTAATAATAATAACGGTATAATCTTATTTTTCACATATTTTGAGTTATAACACTAGTGTAATAGCAGTGCGATATATAAATTATATATATATATATATATATATATATATATATATATTTGTCATAATTGCAATATAATCTCCCGCCGTCGTCATGTCGACGCTGTGTACGTTAGCAAGAAGCTGACGCTTGAAACACGCTAGTGCGGATCTCTAATTAAAAATAATGAAGAATAGCTATATATATGGCTTTAAGCCAAAATATATAATCCGACCGATTTTTTTTTTAATTATTTTATTTTTGTATGTTTTCAGGCAAAACGGCATTCGACCAACGTTCTGCTCGTACACACTCACCGGAGCTTTAGTCTGCTGTAGAGATGGAGGGAATATTTTCCAGACACCGCCTAGAGCTCCTCAAACGGAGTCAGTATATAATTTAAATTTTAATTTAATACACTATAAAACATTATAGGTAATTACGAACAGAAGGATATTCAAATTGGCCCGAATGTTTATAATTGCTATTCCGCCCGTGTGGCATACAATATTTTCAGTATTATCCACACACGCCAGGGCCGTGCCTGCGACGTGGACGGGGCGTGCGTGCTGGGCGTGCCAGACACGGACATGTGTTCGAGTTCAGACAAAATACCACGTCCCGGGCACGTCCCGGATATGTGTGGATAGACCTTTATCATATTTGCGAAGTTTGCGAAGTTTGCGAAGTTCTATCAGTTAATTGTTGTGCAAGGCTGCAAAGTTGTTGTTCGACGCCAGTGCTTGTATTGAGCAAGTTCGCTCGTGGGTTGAAAAATAGATTCCTAAGCGTAGCGCGGGTTTCAAGGCACGAGACGCTAAACAACTTTGCTGCCGAGCGAAACACAACTTTTCTCACCTCACTACAGCGAGGATGTGGAGGTGGATGAAAGAAAAACCATTGAAATATAAATTTATTTATTTATTTATTTATTAGATGTACAAAACAGTTTACATTCACTCCTTAACAAAAGCTTAAACATTACTATAGAATGTAAACCTAAACATGTACATACAGCATGACCAATTATGAGTAAACAATTTTCTTTGAATTATAAATTGTTTGTAAATTAATATAAATTACTTAGGCATAAATAAAACTGTAACCTTAAATAAAATAGAATTACTATGACTATAACCATGAAAGAGAGAAACCGTGGTGGTTGTGGATTCGATTGCGAAGTCTTTTAACATTACCATCAAATATATCCATCCCTAAATCATCGCCAGGGTCAGCCATAAGGTCATTGTAGGCCCGACACATTCTCGTCAAAGGGTTGTAAAAAGAAGTATTATTAGTATAAACATTCAATACGAATGGTCTAGCAAGGCGTCGTGGAATGCACTTGATGTTAAAATTAATATGGGACAGAAGCGTTGAGGATTTAAAGCTGCCGTGAAGTAATTTATGTAAATGTAGAAGATCCTGTACCCTACGTCTAGAATTCAAGGACATGACCTTAAAATGTGATAATCTCTCTACGTAGCGCGACAATTTGCGACTCACGTGTGATCAATAACTTACTATTTTGAGAGCTCTGTTCTGTACGCTTTCCAAACGTTTAGAGTGAACCTCGTATAAAGGTGACCATACGACACAGGCATACACATCATCAATTATTTTCATTAAAAGAAAAATTTTATCCTTGGATGCGTTCTGAATTTACACCTCATCAATTTTTATTCTTGCGTGTAAGTACAAGCAAGAAGTATGCAAGAAGACGTCGGTTCGAATCCGACCGGATCGAAGGAATTTTTTCTGAGTGTTCGATCTTTGTATTAATAATTATAACAAACTAGTGTTCACAAAAAATAATTGAATATCAATTCAATAAAAATTTAATTACTAAAATTTATTATTATTAAAAATTTATAATTTATTTATTATTAAAACTGCCTCCGTGGTCGAACGGTAACCATGCCGGACTGCCACGCAGAGGTCCCAGGTTCGATTCCCGGGCCGGCAGAAATATTTGTATGGCCTACATTTATTTCTCTCGTGAGTTTGGGTGTAATTTGTGGTTGTCTATGTGTGTCCATGGCATCCGCGACACAGGGTTTCCCTAGTGCGGGGCTATGTTGAGTGTGTACGTTATTATTATTATTATAAATTAATACAGTGAATAGCGACATCTCTCGCCAGGACTGGTAGCTGTAAAGGTACTAACTGGGTGATAAATCTGTAATAGATTTCTCATAGATGGCGCTACGACTAAAAAGTTGTTGAAAGACCAAGTACAAAGACACGACGCAAGCACATAGAGGAATTCGTGAGGTCCGTTGGTTCGTTCCGTGGCTTAGTTGGTATAGCGTCTGCCACGGTATGCAAGAAGACGTCGGTTCGAATCCGACCGGATCGAAGGAATTTTTTCTGAGTGTTCGATCTTTGTATTAATAATTATAATTGTGGATGTGTTTTGCGTGATTGAAATTATTTTAGTTCTTCAACGAATTAAAATAATTTAATAAACACAATTATTTATTAGTAGTAGAGTAGTTAATTGGTTTTTCGTCTATAAATAAGAAAATACACTTTTTGAGTTAATACACTATTGGATTAACAGTGCGATATATTTGCCAAGTTTTATTGCAATCGGTTAACGGAAAGTTGGAGAAATCCAATAATCCCCCATTTAGCCACCCTAATAAAAGCGTTACCGCACTACGTCACACAGAGCTAATGCTCACGTTTTGTGCATGCATTTCGTTTTGAAGGGTATAAAGGTGCTGATGAAATTGGACTTTTCAACTTATGTCTCATGGTGACAGGCGCAGGGCAGTGCCCCTCAGATCTTTACGATTCAAAACTCTGATAGGCATTGCAATTGCAATGGACAGGCGTGTCACTTACCACCAGGCGAGTGATTTATTTGTCCCGTCACTTGTAACTTCAAAAGAATCATGATATTCAATAAAATCAATAGATTTTATTTTTGTAATTTTTGCTGATCTTTAGGTTGTGAATTTATGACTTTTTTTTAAATATCTGTCTTTACTTCTTTATTAAAGCTTACTGGTATACACACAAAAGTAGCGTTCAGGGTTCTGTTGCGGCTGCAGCGGCACTGTAGTGCGTCCGGGATGTTCGCGGATGCTAGCATTGACGGCTTCCACGCTAGCCACTGCGCCGTGACAATGGGTAGGGTGCGCGCCAGCTGTAACAAACTCTTGACAGTTGTGGCACATGGATGGGACAGTGGACTGCTAAGGCACTGGTCCTCCCTACATTTAAGTTTACGTACTAACATAGTCCATCTAGTAGGGGGCCGTCTCACCATACGCCTTCCGTTTCGTGGTCTCCATTCAAGAACCTGACCTGATGGCCTGGTATGGGCGACGGGTAACTGATGAATGCACGTCGCGTCCAACCGGCTAGTCTGGCAAATTTTGGCGGAAGCCTACGTTCAGCAGTGGACGTCTTCCGGCTGATATGATGACTAACACATTCATTTAAGTTTTTGTTGTAATACTAACATTTTTATGGATCTTGTTGTAGTCCGAAATAAATGCATTTTATTTTATTCATTTTTTATTAATCTAGAACGTTGATTCCAGGTCGCCCGTATGGGGAAATTTGCCACCAAACCAACAAACCGACCAAAAACGAGTCAGTGAAAGAAGTAAGTTTGAAAATCATATTATACAAAATATTTTTTTTTATTTATATATATATATAATATAAAGTGACGGGATGAACAAGTCGTGCGCCTGATGGTAAGCTACACGCCTGTCCATAACAGGTGTAGTGCCACTCAGAGTTTTAAATCGTAAAGATCTGAGGGGAACTGCCATTGCGCCCGTCACCCTGAGACATAAGGGATTTCAATTGGAATACAACAATTTTGTATTTCAATAATAATTGAGTACACAGAACATACACATCTTACATTTAAGAATTATATTCGGTCTCGTTCACATACACACACACACACACACACACACACACACACACACACACAAATACCTACTCGCATAAACATGCAGCATAAACTGTAATATACCTTTTGTTAGATTGTGTAAGTAACTTAAATTATATTTATTTTTTATTAAATTATTTATTTCATATTAAAAACCAAATACAAAAACACGACAATTTCAAAATTCGTGAGGTCCGCTGGTTCGTTCCGTGGCTTACTTGGTACAGCGTCTGGCACGGTATGCTAAACGACGTCGGTTCGAATCCGGCCGGATCCAAGGATTTTTTCTGAGTGTTCGATCTTTTTAACTTAATTCTTGTTGCTATAAGCCGCTTTGTTATTCGGTTAATTACCTGCTTTGCTTCCCACGAGACAGGCGTGGAGGCCTAGTGTGGGGATCAAGGTTCAAATATGTATATGTATTCCATTCTTAAATATAACATGTGTACTGCAATTGGAATAACTTTCAGATCGACATCTTAGATTTATAGCTCTGAGTGGCACTGCAACTGTTATGGACAGGTGTGTCGCTTACCACCAGGCCACTGGGTATTAAAAAGCCGTCAAAAACTTGCAGTTAGGTTGGGAAGTGTTGGGATCCATCGCATTGCCTAAATATAGCATGATTTTTTTAATTTTTTTATTGAATTTGAGAATGTTTCACCATCATGAAATTCAATTATTTTTGTGAAATTACTCAACTAGTTTGTTATAATTATTAATACATTATTAATGCCATTCAATAAAAATTTAATTACAGTTAATAGCGACATCTCTAGCCAGGTTTGGTAACTGTAAAGGTACCACCTAACTAGGTCACGAAATACTTTCAATGATTTCTCATAGATGGCTCTACGACTAAAAAGTAATTGAAAAGCCAAATAAAAAGATCCGACAACAAGGACATAGAAAAATTCGTGTCTTAGATGGCATAGGATCTGGCACGGTTTGCTACGACACGTCGGTTCGAATCTGGCCGGATCGAAGCATTTTTTTCTATGTGTTCGACTTTGTATTAATAACTATAATTTTTATGTTTTCTATGTTAAATATATACATATAATACATATTATTTTAATACTTCCCTTTATTATTTACTTGTACAACAGCCCATATCATCTATTCATCTACTTTCTATCATTCTATCTTTCAGAATGCGAAGAATACAGCCGTTCTGTGGTCCAGACAGTGAACTTCTTTGCTCTGGTTCCTAATCCTGACCCGATGTCCTTATCAGCGCCCAAATGTAATTACATAGGAGTGGAACTTGTTGTTGGGGGAGAGAAAGCTTCATTGGGAGAATTCCCACATATGGTACGACCTTTTGACCTCGTCATCAAACATCTCGCTCGCTGCCGTATCTGACATTTTTATGGTCATTCTCACATTTGGTGTTCTTAGCCTAATTACCGTACCCATTATTTTTTCTAGCCTATTATTACCCAATAACAATGAAATACGAAAACTTTAAGCTTAACTATCAATATATCTAAATGGCATTAGAATAGACAAAGTAGTTTTGAAGTTATTAAGACACAAATAATTTATGGAAACGGTAATTAGATCTAATTAGCCATGGATACGGTAATTAGAAAGTTCAAACATTTTTAAGAAAACATAAAAACAAAAATTATAAAGAACAACTAACAACATATTAATAACTTTGATTTTGATTTTCTACACTTTTTACATTGACTTACAAATAAGTGAACGACGGGTCTAATACAAATACCACGAAAAAAATGTCCCAAGTCAACCCATTTAAACGTAGTGACATGTAAAGGAATATGAAAAAGCTAAAACGTTGAATTTATATTGTAATGTCATCGCAGTACTGTCTAATTTTGCTTGCTTCGCTGTCAGTCGAACAAACGAAGACTAAAGCGTGAATGACGCTCTGTATACGATTTTAACGCCCTATAAGTTCGGACACTTTTTAGCGCGGACCCGACACGTCCATATAATTGTAAGTCAATGACTTTTTATGATGAATTACACCGATAGAAAATATTTTTTTATTTTTTTAAAACTTTTATCGGTAGAAATAATCAAAATGTAAATTATTACACTGTTCTTGTGACAACTGTGATTAATCATAGGAAAGAATTGGAGTTTTTATTTTAAATTTAACCTTTTTGTATGTACTCGTATATTATAGGTTCATGTTTTGAAGTAAACAAAACACTATAGTAATACTTATGTGATTTTTTTCTTCTAAATTTGGAACATATAATATACATAAAAAGGATACATTTAAGTGAAAAACAACAACTTACGTGTGAGGTACCGATTTATATCTTGTAATTTGAATAGAAAATGACAAATAGTAAGAAAACTAAATAAATCCGAAGGTAAATCTTTGGGAAAACGATTTTGGTTTGTTACTTTTTTGAGATTGACATTAGACACGTCTCGGATACAAACAGAAGGTCCATGAAATACGAAGCAACCGTTTAGCTTCGTATCGGACCGGAGGCTACCACGAAACACAAAAAGATCGTGATTTGACATAAGTCCTTACCCCGAAACATCAAATCACAGCTTTCGTATCGAATTTGACTTATTTAATTACGTATTGAATTTTTAATTACCGATGAAACGTGATTCCGTTTGTTTTGTAATTAGATGTCATGCTATTTTTCCTACACCACCGAACGGAACAACCCCACATTGTTAGAGATATTATCTTTATTACAATAAATACATCATATTTTTGGAATAAAAGGAGACGTATACACAGGTCACTTGTTGGCGCTATCCTATTTCAGCTTCTAATTTGTGATTTCAGTGCAAACTTGAGTTGATATTTACCTAATAGCTATATAAGACCCATTTGCTTAATGAGCTGCCATGGAAGGATGGCCCTTATTTCGTCTCTATCTCAAGTTATATACTCGATAAACTGACATATGTAGTGCGTATGAGCTTCATTGCGTACGCAATCACTTAGTATCGTATTTCGTGGTAAACTTCCAGGTCTTTCTCTAATTCATTCCTCTATCAGTATTTGGACCGACCAAACGGTCATCGACAACTAGGACATCCCATGTAGGCCCTTTTCACCGCCCTATGAGCTGGCATCCTTTCGAGGTATCCGAACTAACGGAGTCTTGCGGACTTGATTTCTCCGACAATGTTAAGCTCAGACACGATGTCCTCCTGCTCCTAGTTCGACAACTTTAAACAAATATGACACAATACTTTCATAGCTTTTTCGTACGTGTCGCTAAGGCTAAAAAGTCGTTGGAAACCAAATACAAGGATCCGACAACAAGCACATAAAAAAGTTGGCATAGCGTCTGACACGGTTTTGCTAGGAGACGTCGGTTCGAATCCGGCCGGGTTGAAGGAATTTTTGTAAGTGCTCGATCTTTGTATTAATAATTAAATCAAATATTGGTTTTGAATTATTTTGCAGGCAGCAATTGGCTGGTCAGACTCCTCAGGTGGATATACCTTCAGTTGCGGCGGCAGTCTTATAAGTCCACGGTTCGTTCTCACAGCTGCACACTGCACCAGAGATACTAGGCAACAGAATCCAGCGCCTGTCATTGTCAGATTGGGGGATCAAAATATTGATCCTGCTGTTAGAGATGGAGCCAATCCTGTAGAGGTAAGTTCTGGAATTATGTCTGAAGATAAAGATATTTTTGTCTAAATTTAAAGAGCTTTACCGTATAAGTAGATGGTAATGTGCTCCGTAATGCTCCTAAATTAATATATCTAAGTTAATGAGGGTTCTTAAAATCGAGTACCGTGTTTAGGCCACGAGGCTTTGCCGGGTGGCCTGAATGCAAACGGTTCCGAGCATGTTTGAGAAAAATAGATTTTTTTCAGTATTTTGGCTTCGTTCGACGAAAGAACGGCCAATATACTGTTACAGCATCCGGTCTGTCGTGTGCTGGCCACACTGCCCAACTATCTCCTGAGTCTCTAGGTCCGAACACATTCCATCAAAACGTGGCAAACGTCTTTAATGACGCCGCAATTGCTACAATTATTATGCATACTCTTTTGAAGTACCTATGGTACCTAATACACCATATATATGGTGTGTTAGAATTTATAACAGAGTACCAAATGACATTAAGAGGGAGCAGAGGAAAAATTCCTAATCTTCGATTTGGTTGTAGAGGGGTATATCCACTTTAAAGTTAAAAATAAAATATTGTACGAGTAACTACACGATATATTCAAGCATAGACATTGAGCAGAAACACAAAACAATAAAGTTTCCTCGACAGATAAAAATCACGAAATTACCTCTAATTTTCACATTTTTTCGATTTATCCTCGAAATGCTACAGGTTATTAGGACAAAAATTAGATAATTAATTATATTTATGCATGATCGACAACTGTCCCTACGGATTTTTTTAATCCCTTTAGTTTTAGAGTTATTCCGCTAAAACGAATTTGGTACTTTTAATGCGCAAAATTCAACATCTCCTGTATTATTATTATTATTCATCTTCTTTCGTCTACCATTTTCCTCGCTATAGTAAAAATTTGTGTTTCGCTCGTCAGCAAAGTTGTTTTGCGTCTCGGGTCTTGAAACCCTCGTTACGCTTAGGATTCAATATTTGAATCACGAGGGTAGCGCCGTCTTTTTTCTTACATCCATGACATCCACGTGGCGGCAACGAAACGCCAGCAGGACGCCATTTCTGAGCGACTGCTGAATAGTGCCTAAAGTTGGGTTGGCAAGACGCTGACCCTCGAAAGACGCGAGTGTGTCTCTAAACAGAAACCGGTTAATTTCTTTTAGGTCGCGATCAGAAAAATAATTCTCCACCCCAATTACAAATCACCGATTCGCTACAACGACATAGCTCTTCTGGAACTCGCTACAGATGTGGACTTCGAGGAAAACATCAGGCCGGCCTGTTTGTGGAACAAACATGATGTCTCGGAATATAAAAAGGCCATTGCTACAGGGTGGGGGGTTACTAATGTCAGTAAGTATTACTACACGTATGCGTTTCATAATGATATAATGTGCCGAGACCACACATATTACCAAAAAACTAGTTAATTCCCTGTACTATGATTTTGTTAACGCCAGGATTTAATCGGGTTAAAGCCCATTAACGTCCGAAATTGAGGACAAAAACTATTTACAACTAAACAATTATAAATCGAGTTTTTATAAATAGAGTTCAAATGTAATGATATTGTTACAAAAATGTAATAAACTACTTGCTTATATATTTCGCCTTTCTATTGAATCGATTCACTTTAAAATCACCTTGAAATGAATCTGTACAAAAACTCGTTATCGTATACACTTTAATCGATTTTCATTTTTGGTATTATCACTGCCTCCGTGGCCGAACGGTTACCATGGCGGACTGCCACGCAGAGGTCCCAGGTTCGATTCCCGGGTCGGGAGAAATATTTGTATGACCTACATTTAGTTCTCTCGTGAGTTTGGGTGTAATTTGTGGTTGCCTATGTGTGTGTCCATAGCACCCGCAACACAGCGTTTCCCTAGTGCGGGGTTTTGTTGAGTGTGTGCGTTATTATTGTAATTATTTATATCTAAAAGAGTCTATAGGATTGCAAGGTGGGTATTGTATGGAGTTACCTCTCTTTCGTCTAAAAAAGACTCATCATCAACCCATTTACATATATGTCCCACCGCTGGGCACGGGTCTGCTTTCAGACGAGGTTTTAGGCCATAGTCCGCCACGCTGGCCCAATGCGGGTTGGGGACTTCACAAGTTTTCCGAGGTTTGTGACCCTTCTTCAACGTGCAACTTTTTCATCACGATGTTTTCCTTCACCGAAAACCTCATGATAAATTTCAAATAAAATTTCGCACATAAATTTCGAGAAACTCACGAGGTGCGAGACCGGATTCGAACCCACGACCTTCTGCTTGAGAGGCAGTAGGTCAAACCATTAGGCTACCACGGCTTCATTCATCTAAAAAAGATTATTTACATCGAAATTTGTAATAGATATGGAATTATGGACCCTGACGAAGATGTCCGCAGAGAACTTACGAATCGCACAGAGGGTAATGGAAAGAGTAATGTTATAGTACATTACGATATTAGTGCGTAAAGATGGTTATAACATGCGAGGCGGAGTTTTAGTTTTGAGCCCGAGCCGAAGGCGAGGGCTTAATTGAGCCGAGCGTGTTATAACCAATACGCACGTATATCGTACGACGTTTTATAACACATTTGCGAGGAAACAGAAAAAAAACATTTTATATTTTGTTCATTTTTAATAAGTTTTTAAAGTACCAAATAAACTGTTTTTTTTTTTTAAATAAACTCAATCTGTGAATGCACTCTGTTGCTTTCCCGCCATTTTAACAGAACTGCCTACTGACTGGCGCCGCGCGGCGATTTGTTCGAAATTTGAATAGCAACAGCGCGCTGCTCACTAGCTGGAGTCGTGCGGCGGCGATCAGTTCCATATTTGAAATGGCAAATAATACTGTTATGGAATTTGTATGGACTATAACTTAACTATTTGCTTTGGGTTACCAAAGCAAATAGTTAACACGCGTTTTTTATGACCCGCTTTACATATTTAAAACCGGTGGAATTACATCAGCTTTACGAGCAAGGGTGTTAAAAAATAATATTACTCGGATACCGAATGAGCGTATTCGACGGATAACTAAAGTCGGGGACGTTGTACGCATGCTTCTTGGCCTCAGGTTTCCACCTTGGATTTATTAGAAAAGCATGCTATGAGGCTTATAGGTGACTCTGAATTAGTTATCGGTATTCTACGGGATATATCACGCCGTCTTACCCTTTCCATCATCAGGGGATCAGACGTCAGCTGGGGTTCTACCCCTACGTTGTGGATATTCCAAGGATTCACACAAAGCGTTTCGCTTCCACATTTATATGGCGAACGGCTATGGATTGGAATTTCTTGCCTGTAGACTTGTTCCCTGGACGGTATAACTTGGGTTTTCAAGGCGGAAGTGAATAGGCATTACTTAGCGTACATGCTCCATCGTCACTTTCCATCAAGTGAGAAGGAGGTCAAATGACTGCCTCCGTGGCTGAACGGTTACCATGCTGAACTGCCACGCAGGAGTCCCGGGTTCGATTCGCGGGCCGAGAGAAATATTTGTATAGCCTACATTTATTTCTCTCGTGAGTTTGGGTGTAATTTGTGGTTGTCTATGTCCGTGGCACCCGCGAGACAGGGTTTTCCTAGTGCGGGGCCATGAGTATGTGCGCTAAAAATAAAGAAAGAAATGCGCACTTGCATTTTAATGAAAAAAAAGGTAATCAATGTATTTGTTTAATTTTTTTGTCTGTCATATTCCAGGAACAAAAGAAACGTCAAAGGACCTACAAAAAGTATCTCTATCCTTACTGAATAACGATTACTGTGACAGGCTCCTTGCTAATAGCAAAAACAGAAACTGGAATGGATTTGTGCCTTCGCAGCTGTGTGCTGGCGAGCTGAGAGGAGGGAAGGACACTTGCCAGGTATTTTCAAAGACCTTGATAATATTGCGAACTGTTCAGTATTCTGCCCGAGCAATTAAATCTACAATGATATCGAAGGCTCTTAGACTATAAGCACTGGCTGCGTTATTTCGGCAGTGTTGACATTGGCAGCTAGTGTCGCTCAAGCTAAAAAAACCTTCTTCCTCCAACAAGTCCTATCTTTACATGTTCCTTTACCTACCCGTGTGTCATGCCTACTTATGTATCCTATTCTCTATTATAATTTATTACATTCATTTATTATTATTAATGATATTAAAAATTTAGTCCTTGTATTTATTTCGTGAAATTTATGTATATATTTTTAAATTATAATATTTCTTACATACATATTAATTCCTTCCAAACTTAGCTCTCCTAATCATGTTTCCTATTCTTTTTTTATTTCCGTTTCCTTCACATTGTAATATTCTTTTATGTTGATACATAAAAATGTGAAGGGATAATATGATTATCACTAATATAAACAATAATAGTTTAATATTAAGGGATTTCCTATTAAGGGAGACCTAATTATGTAAAGATTGCGTGCAATACTTTTTCCACAAGTAAATAAAATAATTAAATACAGCTAATTTAATATAGGTATATTTTGTTAGCAATCCCTGACAACAAACTCAAGAGAAAGCCAAACAAACGCTACAAAACAAAAAACCAAAGAGTTAGAATGGAAGTGGCCAAGTACCGCTTATATTTTAACTAATATTTTTTTTATGAAGACTTATGGCCCGTTGCAAGACCTTTAGACCAATTTAACCAAGCAGGATACAGTAAAGCGTTTGAGTAGAATCTTATCTGCTATTTTAATTAGCAAAAATACCACGTTCTTGTTTTAAAACTTATTATACCTAGTTCTTGTACAGAACTTCGGTAGCGTGTACCAATGACAATAGAATTTTGATTCAGAAGTAAAAAAAGCGAATTAGATAACAGATTGAGGTACAAGAGTAGATAAAATTTTATTTTCCACATTAGTTTCAACCAAAATGTTTGTGTTTCAGTGTTAAAAACACGTGGTATTCAATATCAGAGAATTAATTTGTAAAACTTTTGCAGGGCGACTCCGGTTCACCGCTTCAAGTGGCATCAACTGAAAACCAATGCATATTCTATTTGGTCGGCATCGTGTCGTTCGGTCGTGAGTGCGCCGCGCCCGGACAGCCGGCAGTGTATACGAGAGTCTCGAGTTTTCTGGACTGGGTGGAAAGTGTAGTGTGGCCCGGGGAGTAATAAATATCCTTGTCACAATTTTTAATGAGTCATTCAGCAGGCGAACTCCACGTAAAGCGAAATACAGCCCGATTCTGTCTTTCCAGCTGTTTCTACCAATTATCTGTCAAAATATTGACATTATTGACCTTTGAATCGCTGCTTCTACCAATTATCTATGAAACTATTGACATTGTTGACTTTTGAACCTCTGCTTCTACCAATTATCTATGAAACTATTGGCATTGTTGACTTTTAAACTTCTATTTCTACCAATTGCCTATCTGTCAAAATATTGACATTATTGACTTTTGAATTTCTGCTTCTACCAATTATGTATGAAACTATTGACATTGTTGACTTTTGAACCTCTGTTTCTTCCAATTAATTATTTCAAATTTTGACATTGTTGACGTCTAAGTGCCTAACTGTTTCTAATTATGTATATGATAATTTTTAGAAACAGTTCAAACCATGTTTCTACTAATTATCTGTCACAATTTAGAAAAATTCGGAAAGACTTGGAATGTCATCGAGTTGTTTGTTGCTTTACGTTATTAGCCTTTTGGACTATATATTTATAGCTTTTTTTTTAATAATATCAAGTGACGGGAGGAACAAATCGTGCGCCTGATAGTAATCTACACGTGAAATTAATTACCAAGTAATAAAGTCTAATAAGTACAGTCGATGTTTTACGATACCTGATCTATCGTCTATTTAGTACTGAGTAAATTAGTGTGAAGAAAACTCTTAAACAATTCAAATATCATAGTTTTCTCACAGATGGTTCTACGGCAAAAGTCGTTAAAAAACCAAAACGAAGATCTACAACAAACACGTGGAAATAATTTGTGAGGTCCCCTGGTTCGTTCCGTGGCTTAGTTGACATAGCATCTGACACGGTTTGCTGGGAGACGTTGGTTCGATTCCAACCGGATCAAGATGAATTTTTTTTTAAGTGTTCGATCTTTATTTAATAATTATAACAAACTAGTGGAGTAACTTGTATACTTAATTACTGTTAAAGAAACTTAACCCGTGAGCGGTAAAATCAATATAGGTATGACTTCCTTATTGCATCATTACTGAATAATGTTTTAAGAAACATTTTAAGCCAATTTTTAATTACATTCCATAAATACAAATTTCAATCAAAAAGCTTGAATTTCTTTATACTTTTCTGTGTTAAACGCAGAAGGTTTTCAGAAACAAGAGGTTGGTCGGTCTCCGGATCTTAACGCATCGACTGTACATTCCGACTCATCCGAAGAACAGAGTCCAATGTGATAACACAGTGAAAAGAGGGTAAAACATAATCTCGTCTCGTCAACCGTTACCATGGGACCTGTAAAGGGCCCGAATCGTTGGTTTGTTTCAAAAAACAAATATACGCGATTTAAATCCGGGAAAATAGTTTCATTTCCTATAATCTCGTTATTCAAAAGGTCTCTCTAAGAGTGCTTTCAGATTATTTATGTATTTATTATTTCGTTTCGGAAATATAAAACTGAACAACAGTCGATCTTGACTGTGGATATCCACAGTCAAGATCAACGAACGAAATGTACAATGTCCTGAGAATAAGCAGCATCTTGCACATAGGTCTTTGTTCTACGGATGAGTCGATTCCTTTCGTTAGTCTTTATAGACATAAGATTATATTATAAAATCACTTAAATGTAGATACAGTAAGAGAAATAAAAAAACTTAATTTACGTTTATAACTTTTAATTTCAAACAGAATATATATGTATATAATAAAATTATTTATTTATCACAGTTTTACCACAAAATGGCCGGCCGGTTAAAATTCCGGTTCTCCCTTATCATAACCATAGACCAATAAATAACTCGAGAGGAGTGCTTATTGCGATACAAGAGATCGTGTCGGGTATTTACTACCCATCGCTACACCAGATGTCGCGACTAGTACCAAATTGTAATTTATCAAAGCTACTCTAATTTCTAGTGATAACGAACAAATCAACTAGATGGCGCTTATTGCACAGATTTTTTTATGGATACAGCCGGCTATTCTTTTATTTTGTTTAGGATTAGCGCCATCTACCCATATTAAGAAGCGTTAATTTATAAATAAATTTGTAACACACAATACTGTAGCCTACGGGGTAGCTCAGGTTGCGTAGCGACAGTTACCTTATAAATATAAACTGGGATTAACTTCAAAATTAGATATTTGTGGTATTTTTCACAAATATCTACTTATAGAGGCTACTTCTAGATCTGCCAAGATATTCTTTTTCTATCCTATTTTTTTAAACACATTCTAAATATAAAACTATATTCACTCAGCCAGTAGTTCTACTCATAGAGTAGAGCCTAGACTACATCCCTCTTCCTCACAACTGAAGGAGTGAACATCCCTAGCTGGTGCCCTACCTATGATAGGCAACTTACATAATTGATCAGCCTTTACTATAGGCTAGCCACACACTGCTCGGAAGCTACTACATTACCAACAAGTAAACCACCGAGAAGGCTATGGCTGTAGTCTGCCAAAAACCTATCTAAAAGGACAGACCATGACCACATCCTAATCAAACAATTCAACACTTTGGTGGACGCCTGCATTTTTATTGGCGTTCCGCCCACTGCACGCAATGGAAAACTTGGATTATCATCAATCTTCAAATGTAACCTTTCTGCAAAACAACGAGAGATTATTGAAACCGAAGCACTAGTATCCACTAACGCCTCGCAACTTACATCATTAATAAAAACAGATATAAAAGGTCTAAATATCTACACTAAACCTATCAATTGTAAACAAATTTCCTAAATGTTCAGCTGCGCTGTGCTGACATCCACGTTGAGGAGATCCCGACGAAGATCCACTACCACGTGCCCGTAAATACAATTGACGTGGCGTATTCTGCTGCACGATTGGTGCTCGTGGCGCTTGATATTCCGACTGTTTAGACTCGGGTCCAACTATCGGTGTAGAGTCACCTTGTGTTTGCCAACAGTGAGAGTGTTTATGAAAATATACTAGCAATTCAATATTTTGTCGACTCACATCATAACCGTGATTAAATACATCTTCTACTTGTGTAATTGTTTTTCTCAACTCCTCTTTCGACAAATACAAATTACTAGCCATCATCCATGTGAAAATTGGATATCAAAGACTTCAAGAAATGTCTAATAAACTGCACATCTTGAATATTCGCTTTCGTCGCTAACTTATCTAAACTATAAAAATAACTTGTCAGCAATTCGTTAGGCCCCTGTCGCCTATAATAAAACTCACGGGCGTAATCTATCTGTGAGGGAAATTCCTCTTTTAACTTCTGTGCAATTACATCATACGTCGTGTATGAAGAAAAATACGTTTTGTACCATTGTAGAGCTGGCCCCTCCAAATTCAATGCAAATACGTATCTCTTATACACATCAGACCAATTATTTAATACACTGATGGCCTCAAATTGATTCAAAAACTCGTCTACGTCGTTGAATCCATTAAATTTTTGCGCAAGTCTACAATACATATTCTCTTCTTGCACTTTTCACTGGTATCAATTATAAAACAATATTAAATATAAAAATATAAACTACGACCTTATGTACGCTTTCCTGGAGGTTTTTCGTAAAAACATAAAAAATTTTTTCACATCGGACTTTTCTTCATTTCTACCATTTGTAGCCTAGGGGGCAGCTCAGGTTGCGTAGCGAGAGGTACTTTATAAACATAAACTGGGATTAACTTCAAAATTAGATATTTATTGTATTTTTCACATATTTACTTATAGAGTCTACTTCTAGATGTGCCAAGATGTTCTTCTTTTTCTATCCTATTTTTTTAAACACATTCTAAATACAAAACTATATTCACTCAGCCAGTAGTTCTACTCATAGACTAGAGCCTAGACTACAATACCATCTCGACTCTTCTGAAGAACAGAGTCTGATGTGATTATCTGATTTATACACTCCCGGTCACATAAATCGAGCCATCTTGCATTTTCATTTTTCAAGTGCTAGAATAAAAAATAATATTATTATCATTGAAGAAAGAGTTTTTCCCGGTTTCGCAAATTAAAATTTTCAACAAAACCTTTTGAAAATGTATTTAGTACGCCAGTTTCAAACTTGAATTAGTTATTGATCAACTAAACATTATTTAAGCTAAGGACATTTAATACTGACAATGCAAAGTGGCTCGAAATATGTGTCCGGGAGTATATTTATATAAAAAAGGATAAACACAGGCTCGTTATTCAAAGTTAAGGCCTATCTATAGGTTGTTTTCAAATTTTTTATATCTTATTTCGTTTCGGATATAAAACCGAACAACGATCGATCTGATATCCACAGCGAAGAACAATTAAAGAAATGTAACGACAACGGCACACCAGATTTTTGTTCGAAAATCGCCTCCAGTGCAACGGAACAAGATACGTCAATGGGCAGCTTGATGTGCTGGCGTGTGTACAATGTCTTGAAAATAAGCAGTTTTGCACATATGCCTTTGTTCTACGGATGAGTCGATCTACTGACACGCGTATTTGTCAAAGTTCATAAAATATATTTTCATATTAACATTACAAAGAAAAACTGACTTCTTATAAATATTTTTTATTAAAGAGTGTAAAGGAGGGGGGAGTGGGATGAGGTTACGCAACTCCAGCCAAGTGAAAACTCCAAGTTAGAAAAATATTTATTTTCACCTTGTATGACGCCAATACAATTTCACCCTATATGCGGATGATTTTCACCCTATATGCGCGTAAGCAATATCAGAAGGTCCGGGTAGCAGTTCCCAAGAAGGGTATTCCTGGTTAGCCGAACTGAGCTCTCGGTATTCTCAGATTTCTATCCACATCATTGACTTACATTTATATGGACGTCGGGTCCGCGCTAAAAAGTGTCCGCACTTGTAAGGCGCTAAAATCGTATACAGAGCGCCAAACTCCGCTTTAGTCTTCATTTGTTCGACTGACAGCGCGATACTGCGATGACATTACAATTTAAATTTCGAATAGGTTGACTTGGGACATTTTTTTCGTGGTTTTTGTATTAGACCCGTCGTCCATTTATTTGTAAGTCAATGATCCACATAAACATTTTTTAAGGATATTTTGCAGTTGGCCGCTGATAGACTTGACTGCGCCACCGGAAAAATTGGGCGAGCTGAAGGCTCGTAACCCTAAAATAAACTTAAAACTAAGTA